CCTCTCTCTGCTTGGCCTGGGCCCTCTCCTCCAATGCCCTCTGCCACTGTCTCTCAGCCTCCTCTGCTGCTGCTTCCACCCTCTATGTCTCCTCTTCCTTGGCTGCCTTCCTCCTCCACACCTCTTCCTCCTCTCTCTGCCTCTGCTCTGCCTCCAGCCATGCCTCCTCCACCTTTCATTGCTTGGCCTCCTCTCATTTGGCCTTGCACTCTGCCTTGCACTCTCACTCCTTCTTCTCCACCTCTTCTCACCAATGTGCCTTCTCCACTGCCTTCTCACATTTGGTGTCTGTCAAGTCATCTGTAAGGATGACTAGGTCATCATCAGTGACCTGGGAGTAGTCATGAGTGTGACCAGGGGTGGGCTGGGGGGTCTTGGTCTGGCACTGGGAGGACATGATGACAGGGGATGGGATATGAAGGTTCAGTACCCTAACATGTGTTTTTAAGTGGTTTTTGAGCTCTGACAGAGCTCCACTGTGGCTGAACCATTGTCCTTGAGGCATCAAAACAATTTCAAATGATTGACTCATGTTGATCTCATTCCAAACAAGCAGCCTCCAGGGCTTCAGGCCCTAAGGGGGGGGGGGGGGGGGGGGGGCACTGTCACAACCATGCATTTATCCTAGGTCCTCACTCACTCCACACCTTTCTCCACTGGTCATTCACTCACTCTGCACCTACTCTGCCTGCCCTCTGTCATTTACAAACCTTGCACTGGAAGCATTTCTCAGTTCCTTTGCTGAAAACATTTTAAGAAAAGATTGAAGAATGAGACTCTTTAATTTGGGATGATTTTGTAACAAATATTGTAAAAGCACATAGGATTTATATTGTCTATCATGCCTCACAAAATATCACCAGAAAATCTTAATCTTTACATATAAAAAAATTATGGATACTCAGCAGAATGATTTTGAACACAATATGAATGATACATTGTAAATAATTTTCCAATATATGTTCCTTTTTTTTTAGATTTAATGATCTGCTTTTTTGTGAGCAGAAAGTTTAAAAAGTAGGAAGTATTTATTTAGCCCAAGTATTGCATTGCAATGTCATATCCATGACTCTTGGACTCAATCCCAGTCTGGTCCAGTCCTGGCCTGGCCTAGAGAACACAACTCCAGTCCTAGATAACCCAACTCAGGCCTAGGTAACTCAAGTCTGGTCTTTTACCCCTATCTCTGGTCCATTCCAGCCTCCTGGCCTTGCACTGCTCCACCCTGGTCCTCCCAGGTTCATGTCCAGGTCACCCAGACATAACTCCAGTCTGTTTTCCTTTGTTTGTACTATATTTAGTCTAGTCCCCTTTGCTGATCTTTGCTTACTGTACAAATCCTGTGTCCAACTCTGGTTATGCCAGTCACCTGGACTTTGGCTATTAGCCTTGGCACAGCCACTGTAGCTGTCCTCACCTTGCTAATCATCTCACTAATAGCTTATTAACAACTCCAGCTTTATGTTCATTACCCTGGACCACCCTTGTGTATTTAACCCCTGTACATACTTTGTAGCACCTCAGTCAGAATATCAACTTAGTATTACCCTCAACTCTGTACTACACCCCAAGTCTGCTCTATAGCTAAGGCCAAGCCTTAAGCTATCCCTGGCCCCTGTCCCAGACCTCTCCCCAGCTTGCATAAGGGTACAGCACATAAGCTGGGGCCAAGGGAGGTAGATCCAACCCTGGACCAGCTTCCCCCTGTGTGCACTCCAAGACTGGTCAGTTTCCCACACTCCCAGTCTTAAGTCCAGTCCCCCAGACTTAACCCCTGACCTCCAGCCTTAACTCTGGTCCAACTGGACTTGACCCCTGTCTCCTGGCCTTGACTTTGGTCACCCAGACTTAGCCCCTGTCACCCAGTCTTGAAGCCTGGTCACCCAAGGGTAAACCCATACTTGACATGCAACAATGAATTGTGTGCTGAAGCTCATATGAAAAACATTCTGCCTCTTTTATGCTCAAACATGGAATATACAGTGAAATATTTTTCAACAAAAAATAAAATCAGAAATAAAATCTTTCCACATTAAAATCAGAAGTCAAAACATCAAAAATTATTTCTAGATGAAACATTGAGTATATTATTACACATGCCAAGGGCAATTGATACAGTATGGAATGCTGATGCACATATGGTGTGCTGGGAACCACACCCTCACTAATAATATACTCAATATTTCAATATTTCATCCAGAAATAATTTTTGATGTATTGACTTATTATTTTAATGTGGAAAGATTTTATTTCTGATTTTATGTTTTGTTGCAAAATATTTCACTGTATATTACATGTTTGAGCATAAAAGAAGCAGAATGTTGTTCATATGAGCTTCAGCACACAATTTGTTGTTGCAATACAATACTTGAGCTAAATAAATACTTCCTATTTTTTAAACTTCCTGCTCACAAAAAAGCAGATTGTTAAATCTAAAAAAAAGTGACATATATTGGAAAATTATTTACAATGTATCACACATATTGTGTTCAAAATTACTCTGTTGAATATCCATAATTTTTTATATGCAAAGATTAAGATTTTCTGGTGGCATTTTGTGAGGCATGATAGACAATACAAATCATGTGTTTTTACAATATTTGTCACAAGAACCTCCCAATCCAAAGAGTCTCATTTTTCAATCTTTTTTAAAAATGTTTTCAGCAAAGAAACTGAGAAATGCTTCCAGTGTTCTCTGCTCTGACTGCTGTTGGACTTGCACTTGTCTACCATCAGACTGCATGGGCTGTTCTCTGAGGGGTCATGTGACCCCCTTTTGGACTTCTCCTTGACAGTGCACAGTCAGGTACTCTGCAGTGCACACACCACATGGTTCAGCACCTGGACTGTTTCCTTTTTGGGTTGCTCTATGTTACCCATCATACATTCTCCATCTTCCCTTCATTCATCATCTAGGAAGTTTTTACTTGAATATTTATGAGTCTCCATGTGTCAGTTCTGATTCCAATTACTGTACCTCTGTAGCAGTATAAAAGCATGTATTGTCCTCTGCTGTTCTTCAGTACAAATATCAACTTAGTTCCTACTCCTTCTCTCTCTCTGTCTTCTGTCTGTCAGAGTTACATCTGACTATCCATCTGGTCTCTACCTCTGAAATATGAGGGCTGAGATCATGCAAGGGTTAGCACATGTGCTAAACCCAATGCCCTTACTCTGCCAGTCAGAGTTCTGTTCTTCTGTGTTGGACTTGCTTCTGAACCTCTCCCCAGACCCTGTCTAGCATCAGAGTTGGTCAGAGTAGACCTGGACTTGACAGCTATGGTACTTTGTAACTTTAGTTTTTCTCTACCTTGCAAATCCCCTCAAATATACTCCTCCTCTTGTTCCTCTTGCATCAGGTGTCATCCTAACAGAGGGAAACTCTCAAAGTCTGAGTTAGTAGTGGATCCATAGGGGTTATGACAAGTTCAGCCCATAGTGTGTCCCTCCTTTGCTTTGTGTCTAGTCCATTTGATGAAGCCACCATGTCAGAGCATAACACCAGCAGACAAAAGATGGAGAGAGGAGTAGGAACTTAGGTGATATTCATACTGAAGAACAGTGAAGTACTGTACATGCTTTTATACTACCACAGAGGTACAGTAACCAGAATCAGAACTGACATATGGAGACTTGTAAATTTTCAAGTAAGAACTTCCTGGGTGGTGAATGAAGGGAAGGCAGAGGACATACAACAGGTAACATAGAACAAACCAAACAGGAAACAGTCTAGGTACCAAACCATGAGGTGCACATGCTGTGGAGTACCTGACTGTGCACTGTCAAGGAGAAGTCCAATGGTCACATGACCTCTTGGAGGACAGTCCACATGGTCCAACAGTAGACCAGTACAAGTCTGACAGAAAGCAGAGAAGAGAAGACTTGCAAATGGGAGTGTGTGGGTGGAGTTGGTGTGGAGTGAGCAAATGACTGGCAGAGTAAGGTACAGAGTGAGTAGGGACCTAGGGAAAATGCATGGTCATGACACTATATCTCAGTGCCATGGCAACCAAATTACATGAACAAGCCCTTGTTGTCAAGGCAACAATTAGTGCTACTTTTGGTCCTGCAGGAGTTTGAACTGATTCCTCCTAGTTCTCTCATAAATTGCAAATCCTTCCAAAATCACCCAACATTGGGACACTTTTTTGAGCCACTGTAACAGTTATTCCTGGACACTGTCAGGCCAGGTCTGTAAACTCTTTGTCACCAATGATCATTCAGGGCTTTAGGACTGTTAACTCCAGTCACATGGACTTAGGAGGTGGGAAAAATTGGATACATTGGGGTTTTGCAACCATTATGTCACAGAATGTCATGCAGATGACCTGGTTGTGGACCACCACAACATGATTTTGCATGATTTCCTATGCTGTCAGATGTGTGTGGGCACCCTCTGTGGCCATGAATGTACTGCTACTTGTACAACATTATTATATGTGTTTCAACAGTTAAAACATGCCTGGCAAGGGAGATGCCTTGCCCCTGTACTGCAAGCAGCTACTTCACTAGAGAGTAGTGTTGCAGATGCCAGAGCTGTGCAAAGAAGTGTTACAAGTCATGCAGCTTTTGGTTCATCTCCTGTGAGGAAACCAACCACCCACCCTTCACATGCAGAACCCAAATCTGATCCCTCAAAGGCCTCAATGATTGGGGGTGGTTGTCACTCAACTTTGCTACTGTTCCCCACCATGGTGCAGACCCCATAGCAACATTCTATTGCTTGGGTATTGTTGACACTGTCTGGACACTCAGAAGACAAGTCTGCAGGTCTATGTCATTATGTGTGCTGCCAATCCTCCACATCATTGAAGATTGCTCATGTGTCCTGCTGAGACCAAACTTACCACAACTGACCAAACCACAGATACATTATCTACCATCCTACATAGATAAAAATTTGCTGCATGCTTTTTCCAAATGTGTCCAGGAACACCCGGAGGGCTTTGATATGTATAATTGCAAATCATACCTGAGCCACATCAGACCAATTCCTTACACCCCAAGTCACTCCCAGAACCTTCAGGTACTCCTGCTCCTCTCAGTGGCAAAATCTGAGTCATTAAGAACAACTAGGTGTTTTGTGGGTTTACCGGTGGTACATTTGCGATGAACTTCCTGTACCCTACAACCATTTCCACACTGATCATCTTGAGGCCCCACAAGTCTGCAAAAGCCCTACACTCGTCCCGACGAGCCATAGTTCCTTTTATATCATCATTTACGAGCTCGCACAAGACTCCTCCAAGAGGATGCCCAGTCAGCATGCATAGGTCAACACTACATTCCGTGTGACCTCTACGTACGAAGACGCCTCCATCGCATGCACGCAATGGAACCATGTGACCTGGTCGCGCAAAGTCACTGGCTATGGCACGGTTGTCGACTAGTTTTCGTGCCGTCAAGGAACGGTCACTGGCGGATATGCCAGTGGTTGTACCTGTAAAACGTCACACCCAAGGTAACGTACACAGATCGAGCGAGCAACAAACCATGCTTGTAATCCACCGTGAGGGCATAGGCTGTCCTGTACCGCTCATTGTTATTTGCAACCATCATCGGAATCTCCAGTTCATCGAGACGCTGTTGGGGAAGAGCGATACAAACAAATCCACTTGTTGATATGTCAGACTAGACGAGTTCGATCCTTTTAAAAGTCCGTACCTTGTATGCTTGATGATCCAAGCCATGATCTCTGTAGTACACATGTTCGCAGACATGATGATGTCGCCCTCGTTTTCTCTATCCTCGTCGTCCATAACAATGATTGGTTCGCCCCGTGCAAAGGCTTCCAGGGCGTCCTCTATGGAGTCAAACTCAAAACAAGTCCGAGTGGGCTGGTTTTTAGGTCGGGTGGGATACCAGGATCCACGGATGGATCCATTTGTATGTGCCATACTCTAAGTCGAGACGAGAATGGTCCGCCGGGAAAAAAGTAAGCGGTCGGCTGTTTGCGGAACCAAAGAGCCGACACAAATTTTTGGCCAGGCTTTTGCATTTGCCACTCAACGTCTTCTACCAACTCAACGTCTCTCGACGCTCGTTTACCCATAGAGCACTCGTCATGTCGCACCTGGCGCCTGTACCCCACGACACTACGTACTACGCCAAATGCATGCTCGGCGGTGTCCTTGCGTGTGGCGTCACCCACGCTGGTATTACGCCTCTCGATGTCGCCAAGTGCAACATGCAGGCTAGTAGAACTATTCGAGCCGTCCTTACAGTGTTCTAAGTGCTTCTTTTTCAGGTAAACCCCGCGAAATACACTGGCCTAACGTCTGGCCTTGCTACTCTGCTACGTGAGGAAGGACAGACAGGTATTTGGAAAGGGTTCGGTCCTACGCTCGTCGGTTACTCCCTCCAGGGAATGTTCAAATATGGTCTCTATGAGGTGTTCAAGGACTTGTACTCCGACCTGGCTGGCGAGGAGAATGCCAAAAAATACAAACCTGCCATCTGGCTCGCTGGATCTGCGTCGGCAGAAGTCTTTGCTGACATTGCACTCTGTCCTTTCGAGATGACCAAAGTCAAGATCCAGACCAGTCCCAGCGGGACGTTTCCTACTGGCTTCGGCGCTGCCCTTGCAGAAATGAAGAAAAACAAGGTCGACACTCGCTATCCTTTTGGCTCCCTTGTACCACTTTGGTCACGTCAGGTGAGTGTCGTTGGTACTCGTCAGTGACGGTCTATCCTGAGGTAATTGTGCAGATCCCGTATACGATGGCCAAGTTCTTCTTCTTTGAGAAGATCGTGCAGCTATTCTACACGCACGTCTTCACGGAGCCCAAGGAGACTTACTCCAAGTCGACCCAGCTTGGTGTCACGTTCGCCTCTGGCTACCTTGCTGGGGTTGTTTGTGCAATCGTGTCGCACCCCGCTGATTCCATCGTGTCTCTGATGGGTAAGCCTTCCCACAAGGGCAAGAGCGTTGGCCAGATTGCGTCAGAAACGGGTATGGTTACGCTTGCTACCAAGGGTCTCGGGACTCGCGTTATCATGATTGGCACGCTGACGGGTGAGTACTGCGTCGAGCGAACGAGATATGCGGCTGATGTATGACTAGGCTTCCAATGGTGGATCTACGATACCTTTAAGTCATCCATGGGACTTGGAACTACTGGTGGAAAATAGATTCCGTATATGTTTTAGACCTACATCTAGTCACTTATATTTCCGACATTACCCGTGGCACAATATAGAGTCGGATGATTCCGAGCCGAGGTGGTGTTATTACCCCGCATCAGTGAACTGATCCATATTGACTGGTAATGACGGCGAGGACGAGTCAGAGCCAACGACGACTGTCAGTCCGTCGAGGGTCGGTGAGTGCGCCCGATCCCCTTGGCAAGCATGCCACTGTCAACGACGATCCCAATCGATCGACGTGCTCGAAACTGACCATCGTGCGTGTCGTCGATCCAGCCCCAGCGTTGTGCAGCGCACCCGAGCCACCGACGTCTCCTGGTCTTCACCATCGTCGCTCTTCCCGTCGGCACGGAAGCACATCCTCGCAGTCGGGAAACGACAGCAGGCTCAGCTTCGCAATCTCGTCGTTCGCACCGACCTCCCCCACTCAGGTCCATCCACAGAGCCCTTCTTTCACTCCTCAGAACCAACCTGCTAGAGGTGGTTCTAGCCCTTCCTCTTCCCCGCGCCTTAGACCAAGTTCGCCATCCAATTTCACTCGTCGGCCCTCTACCTCCAGTTCGCCAGCCTTCTCGAGGCCAAACTTGTCCCCAGAACAGCTGGTGGAACTCGCCCGCCAATCTCATAATCCCCGATTTGTTCCACAAGTATCAAATCCAATCGCCTCCCCCCCGTCGTTAACTCCTAACGCCCCTCCTCCAGCAACCTTCACACCCCTCCCACCTGGTGTCTATCTCCCTTTCATCGATAGACCATCAGAAGTAGCTGTCTTACTGTCCACCCCACCGACTGCAAAACTGTTTTCTCTCCTCGCCCAGACCTTCCCGCAGAGAGGTTCTAAGACCCATGAAGAGAATGTCTTTACCGCTGACCCTTCGGCTTGGAGCTTTGAAACGTTGAAACTCTGGCTTACCACCATTGACCGTCCTGCAGCAAACGATTCGCTCTGGGTCCGAAACGCCCGCAAGTGCATCCTAGCGCACTCCGAGCTTATATGGGAACGTCTCAAGGGTGCCCTTGGTGTCCCCCCAGAGCTAGAATTAGAGGAGGACGAATATAATCAGTTGCACGAAGATACTACACCTGACGTCTTACCTGCTGGTTTGGAGAGGGAATTTGCCAAGGATGAGGTCGATGTGCCTGACCCTTCGGCATCACCGCATACACGGTTCCAATCAGAGAACGTAATCATAGAACCCATCATTGCCACTCCGTCTTCCCATCCTTTTGCTCTATCAAACCTATCGAACCCACCCCTCTTGAGTCTGGGCGGTTCATTGGCACCATCCGCATCCATGACTCAGGGCGATGGTTTGCAGGATATCGGAGAAGAGGGAGAAGAAGAGGAAAACGTTGACGATCATACACCGCAAGATGACTCCAAAACTGTGGAGCCTGAGCCTCAGATACATGGGCTCACCATCTCAACCGATCCTGTACCCTCTTCTCCTACGCGTGCATCTTTGGGATTATCACTCCCTTCTAGCCCTGCCATCAGTTCACCCGTGGCAGACGGGAATGTCACAGAACCCAGTGGGCTGGAACTTCCTACTTCCCCTCTCCGCTATCGCTCTAGAACGAATTCGCACGGCTCATTTTCGAATTACATGCGACCCACTTCGCGGTAAGTACCCCCTTCCCGCAAGTGGTTGGCACTATAACTCTAATGGTCTAGGTCGTCGGTACGCCGCGACGCTGGATATCATTCGAGCACTTCCGACTTTGGGGATTGTGACAGCGAACGCGCATACGACCCCGTTGGCGACCGTGTGCCAGGCAACCCTCTCTTTCCAAGTAACTTTGCTCGTCTCGCGCTAGGTCCAACCTTGCGTGCCAAGTACGTCACAACCCCCTTATCAGGGAGAGAAGCAGTGCCTAATTGACTCTTTCGTTATAGTAATCCGTCGCTGCGATCCTCGCAACCTGCTTCGGCCTGTCCTCGCTTCGCGCGTTGGACACCGGGTGGCCGCCCTCCCAGTTGGATCGAAAGCTGGGACTCTGTCAAACATGAATATGCTGCTACCGTCGCCAGCGGCAGCAGCGTCGGTGTTGGTGGCGGCGAGTAAAGCGTACCTGATGAAAAACTTGACATCTTGTTTTGCATCACCAAAAACTATACACGCTTTTCGGCATAGCATCTGTAAAGAGTATCCACACGTTGATGTGTGTAGTACCATTAGAACCTAACAACCAATTCCAACTTATCCTGTTCCGTGCTAGCACTAATGGAGGACGGAATTCACCAGTACCTTGATACCAGGCTCCGAATGCTTCACCTTTCAACTCAGAAACCATCTGCACTGCCACCGTATCGTTTTGGAAGCTCGCGTTCATCGATGATTGGCAACAGTGCTGTTCCAATGGTTCGTGGACCAGAACCAACAACCGCCATCTTGTCCAATGTGGCCGACGAAAGCAATGGTTTAAACAACCAGAAAATCCACGTCATGAAGGACGGTACGTTGACGAAGAATTTCCGGGTCTAGGAATATCAATTAGAGGCCACGCAGACGACAAGAAAAAATATCAAGTACCAAGAGCTCGGGATAGTGGCCCTGGAAAATACTCGTGGCTTCCGAGGCGGCTCTCTTTGAGTTCTCAGTGCGACTAAACAAGCCAACGCCCTCGTAATCTGCACGGATAGTACTTTAGCAGGGCCAAGCGACTATAAATTATCTTCGTACCATGTATCTGGACTGCTTGATCCACAGTTTCGAAGTCTAACAGTGCAATGCTCCGTTCCATGAAAGCAACGCGCCAGCTAAAGCAACGGAGTCAATGATTCAGTCACTACATCGGAAGAACGTACCGCAAAAACCTCTGAATATCGTCGAACACAACGCTTGTATCCTTGATCGCGCCGTAAAGGTTATACCTACCCTCGCCTACTTAAGGAGCTGCCAATTGACAAATGAAGGGGACATACACAACTGGGTGTCCTTGCTTGTCTTTGCCGTATATCTTGCCAAGTTTGCCGAAAATTTCCTCCGGATATTGTTCCTTCATTGCCCCTTCGACATCGAATGATTGTCTCCAACGAAGGGTGGAAATCAACATAGTTTTTGCTTCATCTGGATTCAGGTTCCTTTCCAAAATCGATTTATAGTTAACCGTACGAAGGGAACACGTCACATGGAAAGGAAGAAGTCACCTTGCCCGCAAAAATTTCATAAGAATAACGCTTACTTTCGCGTTCTTGGGCTCGGTCGGATCGATTGTGACACCCCACAGGATGTATGGAGTAGACGACGCGCCAGGATTGTCTGGAAAAGCTTCTGCGAAAGTCGCAGGCAGCATGGGCTGGAGGTGGATAGCGCTGTTTGTTAGCTCCTTTCTTCGAGAAAGACACCATATTACCCTAAATTTTCTCAGTGCACTCCATTCTGCATCTGTAAACTTCTTCGTAAGTGTATTCTGTGGTTCGTCGTCGTTCTCTGGGGCTGCCTTTGCGGCGAGGTCTGCTGGCGCGGGAGAGGCTGCTACCCCCAGACTTGGCGTTTCTGGTGTCCCATCATCGCAGTGCTTAGAAGCATCAGCAGAGGGATTCCTGTCTTCCTTTGGCTCTCCGGGGGCAACCCATGGCCCACTACCGGATACTACTCGGCAGGTGTCAGGCAACTACATAGAACGGACTTGCAGAGATTCGAGACATTACCCGAGGCAGAATGGTCATCGGATCCCATACTCATAGTAATGTGACCTTGCTAAGTTGGATGCGAGCTGGGCGATACCAGAATCAAAGTCCAAATCTGAACGGCTGGGTATCAACGTGGGGGCATACTACAAGTGTTAGCAGCTTGGAGCTACGTAACGAATCCGAGTCTATCGTGGGACTAATAAAAGTAAATCACGTTGAATAAATACACATTCTACGCAGAAACTTGTTCTACCCGCATAGAAGAATACGGGAGATTGACCAGGTGAGAGGGCGAGCTATTATAGTCAAATGTCTCCAGTTGAACTGAGGGTGAGTCTACTGAAAGAGGAGGAGATGGATATGGTCCTGTAGGAGAGATAACTGTGGTGCGCTTCGAAAATGCGGGAAACAAGTCAGGTGAAGATATGTCGATATGCAGCCCCCGCGACTGTGAGTAACCATCCTGTGGAACTCCAGCAGTATACTGGACTCTGGCAAGACCAGTTGCAACTGTGGAAGAATTCGTTTCTGCTACTCTCAACCTCGGAGACGATGGCACACTCCCATTCAGTAGCTTCTCGTCTGCGCGAGTTGACGGCAACACCATGTTGCGTATGGCTTCTACCCTCCTCATCGTCTTCTCTCCCTTCTCCACGTCGCTCTTAGATGCATTGTACATCCAGAGTCCAACAAACGTCAAAGCAATGCCAAAACCTTGGATCGGATGGATACTTTGGTTGAACCAAACGATAGCCATACAAATGACCCATACTCGTTTGATGAGGGAGGCGATGGAGTAGGTAACCGGGGAGGTGGAAGATAGGATCACGAAAGCTGTGATATTCTGTGCGAAGTTCACTGAGCCATTCATGACGAAGTGACAGACGAGTGAGAACGAGAATGGGTTAGGATGCGAGTTATACTGTGTGCTGAGAAGGCGTGGAAGGTCGGTGAAGCTCCAAATGGGGACCATCAAAATGAATGCCATACTCGAGGAGTAAAGTAGCAGATTAAGTTTGTCGAGCTTATCAGGAGTCGTTTGAGATCCAGATGGCATGACCTTCTTGAAAAAAATATTTTGGCTGACGAAGACGAGAGCAGACCCAAAGGCACAAAACAGACCAGTAGGACTGGAGGCCGAGACGTCAAAGGTGAATGCCAGCATCACACCAACTATGAGCGGGAGGAGAGATATGTATGTCTTTATAGAGTACTTGACTCCAAAGAGCATGGCATACGCTCCAACTGTGAAGAGAGGCGACAATGCCTACGTCTCTCTCAGACCAGATTCAGCCAGTCAACATGTAGGGGGGCACCCACCTTAATGGTATGGACAGTGCTGACAGGTATTCTGGAGATTGCCATGCTAGAGAACATGTGGCCACCGACCTGGAATGCGCCCATTGGTAGGGTAGTCATCAAAATACTGCGAGTTGGGTACCGTAGTCGGGAGAACTGTATTAGGGGTGACATGAACATGAGGCAGTAGGCGGCCACGAAGGCAAACTGAATGATGGTCAACGAAACAGGATAGCGGAATTGGATGAGGATGGCCTTTCCCGTGTTGGAAGAGAGGGCAGAGGTTGTATACCAGATGACGCACAGAAAAACAAAGCGAGCCGTCTCAAACGGTGTCGACTCTGTGTGGACTCTGAGGGCTCCACGGGTGCGCCGGTTAAACGATGGCAGAAATTGGAAGCTCTGAGAAGCAGCAGGGGTGCGACGTAGGACATATTTCTTGATGTTCGTGAGGATCGCGAGTGTGCTTGAGCCCTGCCACGATTTATCTGGGGGATCGTGTCGCCAAGCGTCTCTGATATCCAAGTGCGCATAGTTGTATTCGCCCCGCGCACGACCCAACAAGCCATCCTGCTGCATCCTTGGCTTGTCCTTGGCTTTTTGTATTTGGCAGGCCTTCCATCAGACAACAACTTCTTGGTGTAGCATTTTGTCACGTGAGACGATACCACACTTGCCCTAAACATCCCCTCTGTGCACCTTCGCCGAAGCCACCCAAGCCATCGCCATCAAGCCCGTCGACGACGCCGTTGCTCCCTCAAGACACCGATCATGGTCAGTCAGATGTTCTTGTCCACGTCCTCCGTACATTTTGGATTCCGAAGAGAAGGGTGTCACACAGAGCAATGGCTGGATGCAGGATGGATACATTGGATGGCGTGCCAATGCAACATAACGATCGGAGGTTGTTCAGGCTCGTAGTCTCACACTCTTCGTTCTCTAGGCCCGTGGACCAAAAAAGCATTTGAAGCGCCTTGCAGCGCCATCCTCATGGATGCTCGACAAACTGAGCGGTACCTACGTGAGCAAATCCTTCCAGTAACCTAGGTCCTAACATCTTGACGCTTCTTCATCGCTTTCTCTAGGCCCCTCGCCCTTCTCCTGGTCCCCACAAACTCCGTGAATCTCTACCTCTCGTCATTTTCCTTCGCAACAGGTTGAAGTATGCTTTGACTGGACGTGAAGTCACCGCAATCGTCATGCAAAGATTGATCAAGGTAGATGGAAAAGTTCGCACCGATTCTACCTACCCCACCGGCTTTATGGGTGAGTCGGCTTGACTTGACCTTTTGCGAAATTAATGCGTCGTTAGACACCATTTCCATCGAAAAAACTGGCGAGCACTTCCGTCTGCTCTACGATGTCAAAGGCCGTTTTACCATCCACCGCATTACTCCCGAGGAGGCATCCTACAAACTTCTGAAGGTCCGCAGAGTTGCCTTGGGTGCAAAAGGGGTCCCCTACGTTGTAACTCACGATGGTCGGACCATCCGCTATCCCGATCCCGCAATCAAAGTCAACGACACGGTCAAGTTTGACCTTGAGCAGGGAAAAATCACCGACTTCGTGCCTTTCGAGACCGGTAACATCGTTATGATCACTGGTGGTCGTAACATGGGTCGTGCGGGCGTTATCACCCACCGTGAAAAGCACATCGGTGGCTACGACATCGTCCACGTGAAGGATTCTCTCGAGCGGACGTTTGCTACTCGGTATGTTTTTGTCCTGTATAACTCGTTTCACGCTAATTTTTGACCTACAGCATTTCCAACATCTTTGTCATTGGGGAGGGCACAAAGCCATGGGTATCATTGCCCAGGGGCAAGGGCATTAAGCTCACTATTTCCGAAGAGAGAGATCTCCGCAGGAAACGTGCTGCTGAGCAATAGATATTATGTACTGTACCGTTTCCTCACCTGCAGGCGTATCTTCTCGTTCATGCCACCATGTGTATGCCTCAGTGCAAGAAGATTCGCTCATTCACATGGCAGATATGAATACATTATGATCATCTATCAAATGAAGCACCTCCAAAACTCTCGGATCTAATTTCACCAGTAGTCGTCTGTTCTTGGTTGGATGACATAGGTGCTTCCTCGTTTCTTCTCCGCTGCCCAGCGTTCAATCCATTGTGCCATCTTCACTCTTGTTCCTTTGTGTTCGACGTTCACCGTGGGTATGATCTTGGCCCAGTCGCAAGAAATTGCGAAACACGTGAGCTCGAGAAAGGAGCTATGCTCGGAGTAGGGAACACCGAACACTTGTACATCGTTCGATGACTTCTGCGAGGGCCGCAGATCATTGTATGTAAATGAATAGCCTTGACAACGAGAAACGATCGCCTGGATTGCCACACTGGAATTGCTGCCCGGTGGTGGAGTAAACCTGCGTTCTTGCTTGTAAGAAAGGTGCTGGAGCAAATGCCAACGTACTTACGTCCATCCGGTTGGCCGAAACCCCACCACCCGTGAGAATGTGCCTTTAAAACGCTGGACATAGGATTCGAGTTTATCTGAGGCAACCAGACCAAGAGGTAGTAAGTGAACCCCGCCCTCGAGGGGATCGGAAGTAATCAAGTCATCGAGTTGTTGATCATTTTGACATCGGAGAATAGCCGCCTTGCGCGGATCGCAATAGACCTTGGTCTGAAGAGCTTGCGCAACAGCTAGAGGTTGGAAGCTCGAGTAAGCATCGACTTTATTTCATGCGACTACCTACCCTTGACGATGCGCTCTTTTCCAATGGAGTAGGTCCTGAAAAAACTCATGAGGTATTGCAAGCCTGTGAAGGTAAGTGCTCACCCAACAACGACTAGCGTTCTTGCTTGAGGTGACTTTGATTCATTGCTCTCACACGGCGAATTACCATTGATCCATGTATATATCACGGAATCCCGTTTCCCACTAGCATCAGCGGGCCCGACGAATTTGCCGGCTGCGATCCTCTTTGCCAGCTCGGCGCAAGCATCGATAACCTGTGCTTGAGGAGGGAAAATATACTGGCGTGATAACTAAACAAATACCTCCCCCTTGCAGAACAGCTCCATGACATACCTTGGGATTTAAATACGTGGTGTCCATATAAATGTGATCTAGGGGCTTTCTCCTGATTGCCGGGTGAGAAACATGTCGTGGCGATGCTCGGAAATCGCCACAATGCAGATACCGAAACATTTTTGATGAACCCACAAAAGGAGACTTGAATGCACTATCACCTGCATGAACGGTCTGGGGCCCTTCAAAGAGTAACAAGCAAGAACCCGGACAGTGATTAGCTTCGATGAGTGTCACTGCAACCCCTCCAGTATCGGGTATCACCGTGGGTGTATCCATCGGTAGTGGGTGCACCCACTTAGGATCGACGGATAGCATATGTATTACCAAGTTTGCCGTGACCTCTATATCTTGAATGAGAATTACCAGACACCCACCATGCAAATACAACCTGCCTGAACAATAAACTGGACCGTTCTTCCAGCTGGACGACAAGCTAGTGTAATGATCAGAATGTGCATGCCTGCAAGTTGCTTTAGTGCGTGGAGAGTTGTCTGAAGTAACGGGATATCGAACGTAAGAAAGTAAGCCGTGATTCCTGGGATAGCGCCGTATCGGAAAGCGTCCACTGCTATAGGCATACCCTGCAGGACTTTATAGAATGGGGCTCTTCTGCGGCCCCCTTGTCCAGGGAGCTTAGGAATGTTCTCGGTGGCGTCGACTTCGTTCCATGCTTCAATCTCCTTGCGAGAGGTCATGAGAAGAGAGAACACATCGTGGCAGCTCCGTTGACTGTCATGCTTGTTAGATACAGAAGACCGAATTCGGTTTACGCTCGATTGTTGGAAAGAATCGTTCAATGGAACAGTCATGTCCAGACATTGGTTAACATGGCATTGCAGCTCCTGGAAGTAATGGTCGTCAACTATCACCCCCTCCAATGTTATGGCACCACATACCGGCTCAGACATTCCTGACAACTGTTCGCTGCAAATGGGACAGATATCTGATGACTGGATTTCATCAGAATCATCCTCAAATTGGAGATCGATTGTTTCATCCAACACAGCCGAGGCAAGTTCATCATCACCAGTATTCCATTCCTCACTTTCAAGCAAGGCTGCCGAACGTTGTGCTTCCTGAGTCTGTAAAGTGGAAGATTTGATTGTTTGCTTCTCTTGAGGGCCATCCTCAATCAACGCTTCCCGAACGTTCTCACGACACGGTACGTTATTTTCATCTTCAAGAGAGGTCCCGCTCGGCGCAGAACGTAGAAGAGAGCTCGCGGTACCGAACGTGCAAGGTAAAGACCCTTGGGATTGACAACCCGAATGGGGTGGATCGGGAGCACCGAAGCTAAGGGAAGAAGTCATTAAGTCCTCGGCCGGAGGATCACACTCTTGTAATAACATAGACGGTTTGCCAAATGTAAGTGTAGAGTTGTGATTCTCCTCGACATGTTCTACCTCGTCAGTCCGCCTAGAGTGAAAACAGTTTGAGGAAGGTATCGCTGAGTCTTCGACTTTCGATGCAGTCGTTTCATCCTGGGGTTTCCCAGCGTGTGCGGTATTATCTTCGCCGTCCGAGTCAATAACAATGACTTCGACTGGCTTCTCTGAGTTGGCTGGGGCCGTGTGAAAGGTTCTACCTCTCTTTGCTGGCGCAGAGTGTGAAAAAAAATGGAGCAAAGATTTGTGCTGTGGTCCTTCCTTGCGTTTTCTTGTAGTAGCCATGTCGTGATAAGAGCGAATTCGATGAACACGATGAGACGAGTTTGAGCGCCAAATTGCGAAGGTCGCACAAAAGCGGCGATCACTTGCCTCTTTTACACAAACCTCCTTCTCTAATAGTCTCCTTCCACACAGCTGATAACATTCAATTGCGTAGACGTAAGAGATAACTCGGTAAGAGATCATGTGGTGTGGGCACGCTAAGCGACACACCTAATAGCTCTTCGCATCCTTAGGGCCACCAATAGGGACCTCGGTGCTTGGATCACCTCTGATTCTCATTGGCTACTTTTGGCGTTGTAATGGCCTTACACCTTATGTAAATCCATACTGGTCAAATTTGATGACTCGGCCACCACCGTAACGGTCCCACCCAGGTCTACATGGGTACATGTAGTTTGGCTATCCTCAGTGCGTGTAGATTATTTACCCGCACCACCGTATCCTCGTCAAGCTAACCACACCAGTTACTCTGCTGCAGAACCACAATGCATCATGCCAGGCCTACCTCTATCTTACACAGGACCCCATGGCTACCTCCTGTTGCTGTAGCTGCTAAAGGGCTGTATATCGATCTTGAAGACGGCCGTCGATTGATCGATGGTATCGGAGGCGCAGCGGTTACTTGCCTTGGTACAAGCCATCCGAAGGTCATTCAGGCGATTAAAGACCAGCTCGATACCCTGACTTGTAATTGCCTACAGTTGGAACATGGGCAGGTACTGATGACACTGAACAGATGTCTACAACGTACAATTATCCAGTGAACCCGCTGAGGAACTTGCTCAGTTCCTTGTGGACACTAGCGATGGTGCATTCGACCTTGTCGCCTTCGCCTCTGGAGGTGAGACTGCACCGGCGTCTTTTCTATCACTTGTCCGTAACGCATATCGCACACTAGGCTCTGAGGCTATGGAGGCAGTAATAAAGCTAGCCCGGCAGGCAAGCCTCCATTCAAACACAGTGTTATATGTTCTTACCGTGTGGTTTCTGTCAGTATTTTGTCGAAATTGGTCAACCGCAGCGAAGGAATTTCGTCGCCAGACAACTATCGTTCCACGGCAATACGCTCAGCACACTGTCGCTCGCTTGCCATCCCGCTCGGCGTGCGCCCTATGCAGATATTCTAGATACAGATCACTTCCATCACGTATCGCCTGCATATGCTAAACGCTTCCAACGACACGACGAGACGGAAGAACAATATGTCGAGCGGCTCCGACAGGAACTAGAGGATAAATTTCTTGAGCTTGGTCCAGATACTGTAATTGGGTGTAAGCAGATATTTCTTCTGAACAAGTTCAAATGTGACTGGCATACAGTTGTTGCAGAGACAGTCGTTGGTGCCACGACGGGAGTTGTCGGTGCACCACGAGGATATTTCGCGGCGATGAAGTCAGTTTGCCACAAGTATGGCGCATTATTTATTCTAGACGAAGTCATGTCTGGCATGGGCCGTGAGTGGAATGCACGTCAACCGGTTGATGATACTATGCATCTCATTAGGCATGGGGTCTCTGCATGCGTGGCAGAGTGTGGGCGATGGCGCGGCCCCTGATCTCCAAGCTGTCGCTAAAGGACTTGGCGGAGGGTACGTACCCACTTACGATTCTGGCCGCATCTAATGTGTTGATAGCTATGCATCTATTGGCGCGGTTTTGATGTCTCCCAAGGTTTCCAAGGGTATCCGAGATGGATCCGGTTTTCTCAAGCATGGGCATACATACCAAGTAAGTGGGGAACATTAGCACGGGAAGCCTTGTTCATGTGAATGTTTCCGCAGGCGCACCCACTGGCTTGTGTGGCCTCTCTGGCCGTACAAAAGATAATCATCGAAGAAGGTTTATTCCAACGGGCGGTGGAGAATGGTGAACTGCTGAGCAAGCTTCTCCATGAAGGCTTGCTGTCCGACCACGCCCTCGCTAAACCATTCTGCTTCGATATAAGAGGGCGAGGAGCGTTCTGGGGCATCGAGTTCGACTTTGATGCGCCAGAGGCTGAAAACCTGAATTTCAAGGGGCAGACGTTTGCTATGCTTGTCCAAGCGCGCTGCCTTGAGAATGGGCTTGTCGCGATGGGCATGAATGGAGGTGCTAATATTGAAGGCACAAAGGGCGATTGTCTCATGCTCGGACCTGCGTACAATGCCACGCCGGAGGAAGTTCGTGAGATTGCGACGATATTCGTTCGGAGTGTAGAGGAGGTCTTGAGGGAGTCCAGTGCCTAGACTAGTGTATATTAGATTGACTTGCCCCTGTACGGGCCTGTCCCCAAGTTGCCACCGGCACCGGTCTATTCCGTCGTGCCACAGTATTTTCCCACGCCTTGGGTCGTAGGGCCGTGCTTATAATGAGTTGACCCAAAAGACTTGCCTGGCTCTCAGCGTGCTTTCGTCGTCACTGCGAGCTTTGTCCTGACATCGTCCAGAACACCGGATTCGATGGCTGGGGGCATGCTCTAAATGGACTTACAACCGACCCATCATCTAGAAGCCGCAAGCTCAAGTAGCACTACACCCTCGCAGCTGCCCCAATCAGACTTACTTCAGCTTCCAAACGCCTCAACTTCAACTCCCGTCGCTGAACAAAAACCTATTCGCTCAAGTGCCAGAGTAAAAGCAGCAAGGCAGAAGGAGAAGGAGCGTGACCAGCCAAAAGACAGGGACAGTGACTCAGTAGACCAATCAGCTCTTTCCGCTGGGAATCCCCGCTCATCCAAAGCAACGACATCCAAGAACAAGCGCTCTCGTGAAAGCGGTGCAGGAAAGGGTAAACTGAAGGAGCCAACTGACGATTCCACCCGAGCTACTAAAAGGTTTGCCAATCCAATTATTATTTAGCATCCTCTCCTCTGATACTTCGACCTTCCTTTGTGGTGATAAAGGACACGGAGAGCCACTTTCCCATCAGCTTCATCTTCATCTTTAACCATCAACGAACCTACTCAAGACAGGAAAGGAAAAAAACGGGCAGCCCCCGAGGCCGATTCCGAAGAAGAGACATCCAGTGCAGTCCTATCGTTATCTGCTAAACGAACGAGGACTTCAGCATATTCCTTACGATCAAGAGTCGACACTTCTACATCCTCATCTGCATCGATGCCTAAAAAGACCAAGTGGGTGGTTATTCTGTTACGTAGGGATGGCGAATGCTGAATGCTGCATCATCCAGAACCGCGGTGAAAGGAAAAGTGGCGGCGAAGACCAGAGGTGGACCCTCTTCCAGCGCATCAAGGCTGAATGACGACGATATCGACATGCTGGACGCCGGTATGATGAAGTGTGACAACCCCACCCGAGATGATGACAAAGACAACTATGGCAATCATGAGGAAGACATAGACGTCCACGATAACGAAGCCACTCATGGTGACGGTGAAGGCGACAACCGTGGTGATGATGACGAGATGTCGCCAACGGGAGGCGTTCGTTCATTCGCCGGTTTGGACGAAGCTGCGGCCATGGCCATCTTCGGTGACTATCGACAATTTGGGTCTTACATGGTTTCGCTCTCCGGGCGTCTCAAAACCATGCTTAACAACATCAAATCTACTGCAAGTCCAGCCACGCGGCTGGTAACCCTACAGGAGCTCAGCGAACTTCTGTCTATAAGCACGGAGGACACACTGGCAGGTTCATTCCAGGTCGAAGATTTTGTGGGTGAATTGGTGAAGATATTAGGCGGACGAGGTGTGAATGAAGACGATGACGATAGAGATGACAGCGATGAACAAGATGACGCCGCTGTCTCTTCTGTTTTGGCTATGAGCACCAGTGTCTCCTATCAGGGGGATGAGAACCTTGAGGCGCAAGTGCTCGCATGTCGATGCCTCGCCAATTTGATGGAAGCCCTTCCTGGAGTGGCACATACTGTTGTTTACCATGGCGCTATCCCCGTCCTATGCAGCAAACTGATAGAGATTTCTTACATTGATTTAGCCGAGCAAACTCTTAGTGTAAGTGCTGTTCTCCTTGCACGAGCTATATCCAGTTGACGCTGCTTCAGACTTTGGAGAAGATCTCAGAGGAGTTCCCAAGTTCCATCGTCCGAGAGAACGGCCTTGCAGCGCTGCTAAACTACCTCGACTTCTTCTCCATTGCCGTCCAGAGGACTGCTCTACAAGCTGCTGCGAACTGCTGTAGGAATATATCTTCTGATCACTACCCCATGATCCGCGGTGTCTGGTCTATTATCCGCGATTGTCTGGGGTATTCCGATCAAAGATTAGTCGAGTTCGCATGCCTTTGCGTCATCCGAGTCATCGACTCCTACCATCGCGCATCCACTGAGAATTTAGAGAATCTCTTGGACGAAAGCACCATACGAGCCATCAACGCACTTCTCTTGCCCTCGGGAGGCTCTCAAATGATCGCTGCCAACACCTACACCTTGCTTTTAAGGGCACTAGCCACGGCGACCCGTGCCAGCCCCAAGATCACGGTGACTTTATTGCAAGCCGACGTCGTCGATACACTATATCAGATCCTTACGGGAGTACTTCCGTCGGCAACTACAGAGAGGAGTATCTCTGGAGAGGACATGACGCGTGTTACCGTGATGGAAAACCTGGCCCATCGACCTAAAGATCAAGTAGAAGAGGCTCTTAGCCTCGTTTCAGAACTGATGCCCCCTCTGCCAAAAGGTATACTCCTCACTTCAATTCCATAATCAGTGCTGAATTTTACGTTCTTCCCTGAAGACGGTGTCTTCGACCACAAGGGTTACACTGACAAAGCTCTTGCACGCATGGTAAAGGCTAAGGCTAAGGCAGAACGTGCCGCTTCCCGACAGGCAACTTCTTTGTCGTCGCAGACCATGACGCCACCCGACCTGTTGCAACACGTCAATTTTGGACACAACGAAGGGAATCATGAGTCAGATACGCCGATTCATGATGTTGATGAGCTTTCTCACGTGGCATCTGCTACTGATCCTGTTTCTGACCGGACAGAGTTGCTGCGCTCCAAGCCGGACGCGGTTGGACGTTTCATGCGGTTGATGGTACCCGTGCTCATCGATGTATACGCTGCCAGCGTCATTACTCCTATAAGAATTAAGACATTGACTGGTCTGTTAAAGGCGGTGGGCTTTTTGGAAGGCGATGAGCTTAAAGCAGCTTTGAACGTACGTGACGCAGTCAAGTCGTAGCTCTGGTGAATGCTTAGACTCCCGTAGATGGTCCCTGTTGCAAGTTTCGCTTCCTCAATACTATCTTCTAAAGATCACCCCTCGCTGGTCATTGGAGCGTTGCAACTTGTAGACCTCCTTCTCCAGAAGGTTCCCACCGAGTATAGACCAGCCCTTAGGAGAGAGGGAGTGTTCCACGAGATTGAAGCCTTGGCGTCGAGGACACTGTCTACGACGAAATCCAAAGACAAGGAGAAGGATACTTCTGACCTGTCCGGAAGTCCGCCTCCCCCGCCTATGTCCGTGCACTTGTCCTCCATCCCTGGATACAGGAAGTTCCATTCACTGTCGCTTGAGCCAGAAGATGCCATAACACTACGGGCGAGAGTCATCCGCTTCAAATACACTCTCAGCCATGAGGATAGTGACGGGGATAGTTCCGATGAGTTTCGGCGTTTGGTAGTCAAGCTTTCTGCACCAGATACCACCGAACAGGTCATGGTCGCAGCACTCAGGGATTTCGCAGAACATTTGACTTCGAACGGATCTGTCTCCAGTTTTGAGCTCCTCCAAAGTGGGGCTGTAGAAGGACTTCTTCGTTACACGACCGGTAGTGGTTCTGTTCCAGTGAAACGTCGCCGAGAACTCCTTTTCGAAGCGTTTACAAGAATACCGAAGGGCGGTAATTCAGGCCAATCCCCGTTCGCTGTTTTCGTGAAGAGATTACAAGAGAGTCTAACAAGGATGGAAAATTTCGATGTGATTTCGATAGCTCAAGGGAGTGACGATTCAAAGCGCAGCTCGCCCTCATTGCTCGCTCGGCAGCTGCGCCTCAGGCTTGTGACAGATGATGATTCCGACATACCACGCAGCTTGCAAAATATGGTTGTATCGATCCACGCCATCGCTACCTTCCAGGCCCTTAACGACTATTTGCGACCTCGGGTCGCGGGAATATTGTCAAACGGTCGCCTGTCGAATATGCTTGCTGCGTTGGCAGCATCCGGATTTGGTCCTGGCGCTGTACCTCGAGCCCCTTTCGAAGCGGAGGGACAGCCAAGTCGTGCTTCAGACCTCCCATCAGCGCCGCTAGCGCCTTCTGATGCGGGCGCTCCGGCTACCGAAGTCGGACGACGCCGCAGTGAACGTTTGAGCGCGAAGAACACTCCTTTAGCGACGGAGCCTGCGGCTGACACCATTCCTTCGACACCAGTAGCTCCTCGACCTAGTAGTTCGCGACGAGAGGAAGCTCTCATCAATGATAGCGGATATCCTGCACACCTTACGGATGATGAAGTGGACGCAGAGGTATGTAGTCGTCACTGGTATCCAATCGATATGTAACACTTTGATTTTTAGGTTTTTGAAGACGACGACCTAGACACTGCAGGGGATAAAACAATCACACTTTCCATCGCAGAAGGTGAGATAATTAGTTTCTTTCCAATATGAACTTCATCTTAAGTCATGACTAGATGGAGGAAGGGTGGAGGCACAAACGCCCGACGGTACTCGTATTGCTACTCCGAACTCGGCCAGGGATGCTTCAACAGCAAATGGTCGCTCAGGACCTCTAAGTAAATCATCTTATGCAGCAGCTCTCAAGGCCAAGCCAATTGACTGGCACCTGGAGTTCTCGATGGATGACCACGTCCTTCCCTTGGACCTAACCATCTACGGTGCAATTCACCAGCATGAGATGAGGAAGAAAGCTGGCAGTCAGCCTTCAAGTTCCATGTGGCAAGGTATTTACACAGTGAAATTCCGCAAGGTCAACGGACCACCCCCGGGCTCCGAAGGTGAGTCCCTCTGCTCAAGAATAATACCGAGTATGATGACGTTGCCAGTGCGAGGTGAAGCCGTGGCGAAGATCCGGTCGCCGAGTCCAAGCCTCTCATCATTGCCCGATGAAGCTCCCCATGCGAAGATTCTGCGTCTGCTGCGCGTTCTACATAAGCTTAATGCAGCAGAGTTAGAACGTCCGGCCAGGCCGTATGAATGTCGCGCTCTCCCCGAATCCGCCTTCATAAATAATAAGCTGACGGCGAAGCTCACCCGTCAACTGGAGGAACCCATGATTGTTGCTAGGTATGCCGTTCCTATTACAGGTACGATGTAACTGACCATTATTTTCTGAAGTTCATGTCTGCCTGACTGGGCAATCGATTTGCCGCAAAACTTCCCATTCCTCTTCCCGTTTACAACTAGATATAACTACCTTCAGTCAACTTCCTTTGGCTATGCTCGGCTAATCTTAAAATGGCAAAGCCAACAAGGCCGAGGTCAAGACAGTTCGCGTCGCGACGATGGTATAGGTTTTCTCGGTCGCCTTCAACGCCAGAAGGTCCGCATATCTCGCAAACACATTCTGGAGTCTGCTGTCAAAGTCTTTGAACTGTACGGTTCGTCATCCTCGATCCTAGAGGTTGAATACTTCGAGGAGGTGGGCACTGGACTTGGGCCCACTCTCGAATTTTATTCGCTAGTATCCAAGGAATTCGCCCGCAGAGACCTCAAGATTTGGCGTGATGCCGACCCGACTTCTCCGGGCGTTCATGTACATCATCCAGCCGGACTCTTTCCGGCGCCTATAAGCCCTGTCGATATTGCTAATGATGGCGGACAGTAAGTCGGGTGTGAATTCGGTGGATAGTTTTCTGAAATTCCTTCTTAGGAAACGCACTCACATCCTACGTGTTATCGGACAATATGTAGCGAAAGCAATGTTAGATTCCAGGATCATAGATCTTTCATTCAACAAGATCTTTATCAAACTGGTCTTGGGCGACGAAGTCCCGTTCACAGTCGACTCTTTGCGGGTAGGTGACAATTTCCAGTTGTAGTGCATTCTGACCACCCCACGCTAGTTGGTTGATAATGACCTTGCCAATTCCCTTGCCAAGCTACAAGGATATGCGGCATTGAAAGGTCAAAATGAGAAGGTGAGTGTTGCCACTCCAGGTGCCCGCAGCTGTTAATTTCTGTCTGGGCTCCAGCTGTTCCGGAAGGTTGCTTTAATGGACATCGTTAACGTAGAGGACCTTGCGCTCGATTTCACACTTCCGGGCTATGATATTGAACTCAGGGTGAGTATTTCGTCGTTAACGGGTTGTGTGATATCTTACAAAGCTTCATGGAAGCCTGGTGGCCGCGACATTCCTGTCACCTCGGAGAACGTTGAGCAATATATTCATGACGTCCTGGATGCCATCATAGGCTCGGGAGTTCAGCCTCAGGCCAAAGCGTTCCGAGAGGGCTTCTCGAAAGTTTTCCCTGTCAGCGATCTACAGGCCTTCTCTGCTGACGAGTTGGTCATGTTGTTTGGTAACTCGGATGAGGATTGGGGTATTGAGAGTATGTCCATTTGCGACATGTATCATTCAGTGTAATGACTTGATCGGCAGCGCTCAGCGAAGCCATCAAGGCAGATCATGGATTCCATGGCGAGAGCCGCTCCATCCGTGAACTAATCGAGCTCATGGCGGAGTTTGATCCACCCACTCGTCGCGATTACCTTCAATTCATAACCGGAAGCCCAAAACTACCTATTGGAGGTTCGCGTCCCTCATTTCTGTCTTTTGTTCTCGTGTTGAATTCCATCTCCAGGCTTCCGAGGCCTCAATCCCCCACTGACAGTAGTCCGCAAGCCCGCTGAGCCTCCGAATACCCCTGATGCTTATCTGCCAAGTGTGATGACTTGTGTAAATTACCTGAAGTTACCGGAGTATAGCTCGAAGACGATCATGAGAGAGCGGCTGCTTACGGCGATAAAAGAAGGAGTTGGCAGTTTCCACTTGTCTTAGTCCTGTCGCTACATATTTGTATACTCGTATACTCGTGCACTTCTTGCTGTTGTTATTCATACCAGTCCACGTCGAACTTGCATTTGGCTAGTATCCCATGTATGTATTCTAGTTTCGCTGTAGTACCAGTGCTGTTTGAGTGCTGTGCTACTCCGGTCTGATTTCGGCCAGGCTGCGCATATCGCTGCGACCACCGAGTCACAGTCGCTCTCGGTTTGCTTGACAAATTGCAATGCACAGTCGACCAGACCGACCTTTACTGGTCAAATGTGCGTTCGACGGCTGGAACAAACGAATATCCTTCGCATCTGCCAGAAATTGCTCCTATGACCTACTCCGTGAACGTGTAAGCTCATCATCTTCACTCCTTCTGCACCTGATAACTCGGTAACGGTCGCATAGATCGAACAGTGCTTTTCTCTCTCCGCTACCCCCTATGTCATATCATACAGAGACGACGATGGCGAAGTTACCGACATCACAGCGGAGTCTGACCTAACCGAGGCGATCCAGTACTTTCAGGCTGGCTCTGACGATCCACCGCTGTCTTCCGCAGCGTCGATCCTCTCCGGTCGTAGCTTCGGCAGCAAACGTATCACTCTTCGAGTCCACATCACAGTGGATTACGATGGACCAAGTTTGAGTGACACATCCAGCCTCGCGAGCTTGGATGAATACAAAAGCAGGAACGAAAGCAGCAGCGAACTCAATTGGGTCGGTGCGTCTGGAGTTGGAGGGGTTGGTGAGTTCGAAGACGATACAGTGACTGTGAGCTCGAGGGATAACAGTGGTCGCCTCGGGAACGGAACAACGCATGGAGCGGAAGATGCGCCAGTGGGGCATGCACGCCCAGCAGAGTTGGATTCATTGTCCTTCTCCATTCCGGAGGAAGGCAGAAATGAAGGCCCGTTCTCGGACTATTATGTGGTCCCGGACCCAAATAGCATGTCGGATGACGTTGATACCTCCCGGGTCAAGGAAGTTCGAACTCAAGCCGAGGATATATCTGATCGACTACCGTCCCGTGCGCGTTCACCATTCCGCGATGCGCTTAACTTGTCGGTTCAAGACAGAGGAGCGGCGTGGCTGCGCGATCAGAATGCGCGCACTATCAGGGCTATGCTTGGGACTTCCCCAGAACCATCCGATGTCGACTCCAGATCTATATCCCTCTCGCCTTCTGATGGACAGTTTCCGGAGGGAAGTATGGGCGGAGATCTAGCGTTGCAAAGGGACCGCAGGGGGAGATACTACTACTCATACACCGGTGGCGGATCTGCTACCCACGACTCGGGTTACGAAGATGGCTTCAGCTGTAAAGATGGCCATGAACCCTCCGCAGGTTCGTCATCTGGTCAAGTGCGCCCTACAAGCATGCAACTTTGCTGGCTCGCGTCACAACAACAACCGCCGGACGAGCAGAGCATCGGGGGATTTACTTCCGAGTGCCAGTCGTTTAACACCGCAGATATCCCCCCTGAACTGCTGCCATTCGTCACTCCAACCTTGCCTCCTCCTGGTTCACTAACTACTTGCTCCGAATGCGGTGTGTTATTGGATGCCATACGCTACGTGTGCGCGATGTGCGGAGAGAAAGAACCTGCCAGTTGTTCGTCTGGTTCTTCAACTTCTGGGAAGTATAGAGAGAGGGATATGCACCCTGTCTACACCTATCCCCCAACCGCCCATCTCACCCCCCCTCAGGCTTCATCTTCACCATCATTGCTAGATGCACAGACTCTAGTGGGATCGATGTATACCCGTGGCGAACACCACAAGCCGTTGCCTCCATTGCCAGGTACATCTCCGACACTTTACAGTTCTCAGGGGTTTAATTCCAGGTTAATACCAGAGACTACGGGCTACGAGCTTTGTTCTGGGTGTATCGAGAGTGCTGGTATATACCACGCTCTTCAAGAAAGTACCCAGAGAATGGACGACCTGAGATTGCGGCGCAGCTCTCCTGAGGATGCCCTATCCTTGTGGCGGCGTTCTGCTCCTCGCCAAAAGGGACAAATGCGACATGCATACTTTGAGAAAGTGTGGGGACCTCGGGGATGGGAAGATGTTGGTGAGAGTGCTTTGTGTGCCGGCAAGTTTTCAGCTACCTCACGCGGTCGGTCACAGAGCAGGAAGATATGCAGTCATCCAAGTGTTCTACCTGTAACTCCACGATTGTGAACAAGCGTTTCAAGTGCGCGTCCTGCAAGAAATTCAACTTGTGTCGCGCTTGCTACAAGTAACCATTTCACTGTCAGCTTCAGTGTAGTCCCGCTAAGAGATTGCGTAGTCAGGTCCATGACATTCATCCCGCACATTCCTTCCTGATCGTGCTAGGAAAGCCTACTCAGCCGCGGCCTGAGATCGACGTCACGTACGTAGTGAACGGCAACAGCGGAGAACCATGTGTGTGACCCATTTCCGTATCTTGCCCACGAGATTCTGACCCATATTCGTCTAGCCATGAAGCATCCTGGAGTGAAATGTGCCCAGTACGTTTCCACTCGACACGGTCCTCTTGGTCCGCATTCACTCAAACTTGCCTGTCACTTTACTATCCAGCTGTCTGCAAGATATTGTCGGTGCTCGCTTTCATTGTGCTATCTGCGATTCGCTTGACATATGCTCGAATTGTGAGGCGGTCGGGCTGCCTGGAAACTTGGATCCGTCGGACGGAGGGCACATTTCTTCACATATCATGATTAAGGTAGGAAAAGTTTCATTCGGTGGCAGCTGGCTCACATCTCCCGGGAAAAACTACAATAGATACCCTATCCTCTCGAATCCAACGAAGTGCGGACTGCGTCGCGCCATGCCATCCATCTCTGGACTGGACGTGACGCTGCTCAGGTTCTCACTGCACCTCGCTCTAAGCCTTCTTCAGTGTATTCCTCATATGCTCAAACTGTTGTGGGGTCAAGGATGCAGCTCAACCTCCAAGATGACGTACCAGAAGATCATCATATAAACTGCAATGGGTGTAACGAGGTGTGTTACCCATTCGTGTTTTTCAGTTGTTAGCTCAGGATTCATAGACCATCTTTGGAATACGGTACCAATGTGCGACTTGTCCGTCGCTGCCTACCCCATACAGCTTGGTCGGTGTGCTTACTCGAGTGATAGACAATCGTTGACTGTGATAGCGACTAGTGCACTACATGTGAAGAGCGCTCTTACTTATTGCATGATCCGATGCACTCTTTCTTTAAACTGCCACGACCTGTACGAAGACCACTGGAGTCGTCCGGGGGGTTCCTTCTGAAACTGTAAGTTTACAATTTCTGAGAGGAGTGAACACCTGATCAAAGTGTGGGTAGTTATAAAGTTCCAGCAGGGCCACTGGGGGGTACCGAACCGAATGCGGACCCGAAAGGTTAGTGCATCCTTGCCAGAAGAACTAAGTCTAAAAAAAGTTCAGAGTACTTGTCGTTTCTTGTGCACTCCGCCGCACTGTGCGATCGCTGTATGGAGAGAATCCGGGGGCCGTGGTACCGTTGTGCTTACTGCGCAAAGGACCTTTGCGGGGATTGTGAGGCAGTCGATACTCATGATGTGACACATGTCTTCGTGGTATTCAAGGCGCCGGTGGGTCTTCGTTTTACCGCTTACTGATGCCTTTGCTTATATTGGTTCCAGGTTGACATGCCTCGTTTTCGGTACGTCTGCAAGCAAGCCAATAGAAACGGCATTTGTCTGACTCAGATCTACCCACAGCAAATTTGCAAACGTCGAGAATCCAAGTGCAAGCCCTCCGCTTATTCCCTTCCCGGTGTACTTTTAGGGGACTCTGGATGAGTCACGACCGCCTGTCGGCGTAATGTGTACACAATCTTGCTTGTTAATTGGTACAATATTAATGGTCCGCTGACACGTTTCACTGCAATGAATGATGGATTACGGTGACGACAAGCAAGGGGAAGAAACTCAACAGCACCGGGGGAGTGACTGTTTAACCCTTTTTGAAGCCAAGCCTCCGTCTTTCGTAGAAGAGGTCTGTTCTGCTGGCGCCAAGATTCACGATCTTTGGACACCCGTCACGGTCCTTTTCCAATCGAGTACATTCAGCGCAGTAATATGCATCCGAAATACCTGAAAGTTGAGTGAGCAGAGTAACGTGTTGGTATCGGCAATATACGTACCGGGTGAACCGCAAATGATACATCTTCCGCCGTAGGTTCCAAAGTTGCACTCGTCACATATGCGGACGAGTGTCTCTGGCCGTACGTACGAGTCACATACAGGACTTGGGGGGTGTTTTCGGCACACTTCTACATGTCGCTGATAGTGATTTCTACTCACCATTTTCCGTCACACTTTTCGCATAACCGACCGATGGCTGTCGTGTTACGGATTAGTAAAGCGACCAAAGTGCCAATGAAAGAATACTTGCCGATGCCAGGCTGGCGCCTGCACATGATCAAATCTTGGAGTTTTTCGTCAGTAAGTGATATGGAGAGAGCTGTAATAGAGAATATAATATACCTGGATGATGTTTAGACATGAATGCACGCTGACAAGAATGTCCGACCCGGTAGTTGCGTTTCAAACGACTGATATGTGATTGTTGACACGTGTTTGCGCATAATGCCCAAGGGAAGACTAGCTTCATGGACTTAGTCTTATGTCCATAATTCTTTTTCCACCAGCATCGTGGCAGCAGGACAACCCCTGGGACGTGTAGTGGCGTCGATCACCCAACATCTCTATCTCTCAAATGCGTTACAGCTTGGACGATCTGCAATCTTAAGAATCTAGGTATCACGCACGTTTTGTCCGCACTCGAAGCCAACCATGGCATTTAGCGAGGGTATCGTGGTCATGCACGTACCGATGAGGGACAGCTCAGGCACTGATATTTCCGAGTTATTCGATGCTGTTGTCAGATCTATTCAGGAAGTACTCGAGACTGATGAGCAAAATACGCAGGTTAGTTTAAGAGCGTTTTTTGTTTCTTCATATCACCTTGTTTACAAGGTCACTCCAGCACGACAAATTCCGCCAGCCATGTCACATACAGCAGCTACAGCTCAGAATGTACATCGTATTTACAGAACATATGCTGCTGTTTCGTGTGGTGCATTTGGCGTGTGCAGCACTCTGGCATGGTAAAGAAGGTGCCGGCGGCGGCGACGGCCCTGTTCTAGTAATACATATGGCCAATGATAAATGAGTGTATGCGTTACCACATTGATCAATGCAAATGCAGAGGAAATGTAGAAAGGCATAAGAAAGCGTAACCGGAAACAAAACACGCACGAAGGGAGCACTGCCACAAACCATGAATGTACAGTGGAGAGGAATATAAATTATTTGTTACGTAAAGGCCAAACGGAGGTGGTGAGGTGGGAATCATTTGCCGAACGGAGAGTGAGGGGAAGGCTACACTCGCCGCTGACCCTACCTTGAATATTGGAAAGCTCGATGCGACCTTGCCAAGCAGGGTAATGAATCGAACATGAAATGAGAGGAGTATACGGAAAAACACAGAAAATCATTCCCAAAGAAATGGTCAGAACGACGCGGCCAGTGTCAGTGAGGGACGAGGCAATCATTGGAAGACTTACAACGACCCTGTCGCCTGTTTATTTCCCGGTCGTCTAAGGGATGTTCATCGGCACCAGAGAACCACGAAGAAATAAGCGATTATGATGAGAACGAACAAAACTACGACCACCGGTACCACCCAAGAATCAACCGGCAGACAGCAGCGCTGCAGAAGGGTGATACAAACACAGAACAGGATCAACCCGATCAAGGAAGAAAAAGTTGCAGGCCATACAAGCATGAACCTTATAGGAGTAATCCTTGGGCTCGGAGGGGCCGAAAGTGATGATACGAAAAGGGACAATAATTGCCTGCTGTCAGGAACACCAGAGAAAACAACAAGAAAAGATGGGGAAAGCGGAAACGGAGCAAGTAGGTGAGGATAGCTCGTCGGGAATTCAAGAGTTCGTCCGCAGGGGGATTCTGCCTTGGTACTTCGCGAAAGATACCAAAGAATAGGAGCCGGAATGCAATGCCTGCCAGAGACATTACAAATGCAGAGGAGAACACACCGTAGACTTTAGAATCGGTGTAATCAGCAAAAGACACTGGCGGAGAAGTCGTCAGAAAAACGACGGCTGCTGCCATGACCACTGCTTGCCTGTTGAGAGGGATCAGCGAACGATTAAGGAAGATCGCACTGATGCTAACCAATGTTAACACCGAAGTCGAAAGGGCACAGTGACAGGCATGAAGATTGATCCATTCATCGTGCTCATCAATTTCCCTCCAGAATATTGCGAGATCTGCCTGACCAATGACGCAAAGATAGATGGCCCTGTAAGTCAGACGCGCTACGAATCCCGTCGGCGCATCCCAAGCTTCAGGCATCATACATGATGCCTGAAGCTTGGGGTGCGCCCTTGCAGAGTTTGGCATTGGCGACCGACGATGGTTCTTCGGAGGATCGTTGATGGGTGTTAGAGCCCCTACGCTGTAGCCTATATACACGGTTGGGGTGGTGCTGCCACTAAAAACTTAGCAGGAGTGTGATGTCGTCGCATGGTAAAAACGTTGCGCCGAGTCGGATTTCCTAAAAACTTCTACGTGCTACGGGGTACTTCGTGGTGTTAAACTTAGCAGGAATGTGACGTCGCATGGTAAAAACGTTGCGCCGAGTCGGATTTCCTAAAAACTTCTACTTGCCGCGGGGTACTTCGTGGTGTTGTGCGAGTGACACCCTCGTGTTGTGCAGTTCCAGAAATTCATGTCATGTGTCTGGAACTGGTGTTTGAAATTTAAAAGAAAAATAAGAAAAATCAGGAAATGCAATAATTGGGTTGCACTGGTGTTCCAAGTCATATTCCAGGGCAAAGCCTTACAGAAATGGCACAGAAACCTGCTGAAGACCTGTTGAAAATCACAGACAAGAATGTTTTGGAAATGATGGCAAAATTCTGTCAAGAATCACTGCAGAAATGAGATTTTAGTGGGGGTTATAATCAGGTTCTTTAAATGTAAATAATCCAACCTTGGACTTTTTTTCTAAGATACAGCCATTAATCTGAGCAAAATCCACCTCAACAATTTCTGAGTAACAGGTCCAAATAATCCCATGTAGGTGAGATCCAAGTATAGACAATACAACAGTAGCCTGACCTCTTGCATGATGCATTCCTGATCCTGACTATGCTCAACTATAATGGCCATGATCCAATGATACTGCTACCTGAAAAGTGGCTCTTTCCACCTTTCCAACCCTCAGAAAGACAAATGGACTTAGCAATTCTTTCTTAGTCTCTGTCAAAGTCACACAACACCCCTGACTTCCTCTTAGAGTGGAGTAGGAGCAGGTTGGGCTGTGGAGCACAGGGGTCAAAGTCTGAGGTGAATCTGACCACTGGGTGGCAAGACATTCAATGAACAATGAGCAGAGGAGTACAGAGGAAAGTTTCAGGAACAGAGGTTGGAGTTGGAGGTCAGAGGTCAGATGGGAGGGCATTGGGTTCAGCTAGTGCACTGCCCCCTTGTGTGAGCTTGGCCCTCATATTTCAGAGGCAGAGTGGACTCAGAGGAGTGGAGACAAAACTCTGGAGGGAACTCAGAGGGAGTCAGAAGTGGGGACTTTATTGTCAATATTCATGCTGATCACATTGGAGTACTATGTGGCCTTATATATGATGTAGGTCATGGGCAGGGCAGTGTAGAATGCAAACCAATAAGCATATAACAGGTTAGCAGTTTCTCTGACACAGGAGATAAAGGACAGGGATGACAGGGACCTTAACTGAGACAAAGGAACTACTACAATGAGGGGAAAGAGGGTAAACACCAATGGAGTGGAAGAATGGAGAAAAGCTGACACAAGGGCAGAACCCTAACTGGAATGCAGGGTGGCAAGTCTGACATCCCACCAAGCTGACCAAGGGCTCAGAGGAGGCACAGGTGAAGGTCTGGCCTTCATGTGACTGGCCTGAGAAGCAGAGGTGAGCAGAGGTGGTTGGAACATGGACAGGGGACCTTGGAGAGGTGTGGAGATGTGTCAGGAGGGTCAGACCAGAGTGGAGTTTGGTTGGAAGGGTCAGAGGAGCACAGGAATGCATCAGAAGAGGGCAGAGAAAGATTCCCAGGGTGCAGAAGAGGGCAGAGAAGATGTTAGGGGCTTATACTGATGTCATGGTCATGACAGTCTCCAAGTTCACCACCTTCCCATGTACTCCATGAACCAACCCAAGGCATGTGGTACTCAAACCCTCAAGCCTACCAGGTGGTTCCAACCTCACAAGCTGATGAAATTGAGTCTGTTGGTGCCCTGACAGTCACCAAATGCATATCCACCACTGATAGTATTGCTCATGAGTGTGTGCATTGTTATGCTTCTGCCAGGGGTCTTTCCTTTTTTGACTCCTCTTGGTCATGTGCATCACATGCCTCGTCGTGTCCCTCATTGTAGTCGCTGTCCTAGGGGCTTGAATGCTCCAGGGAACCTTCAGATCACCCACTGTCGAGGTATTTCCAATACCCATAGAGACCGCATTGCTGTTGTGATCCTGTGTCCCACCACCCTCTTTGATGGATGACTTGTTCATTTCTTGCTCTGCTCTGACTTGTATATATTGCCTAGATGTTGTACTATAGCTCTGGTGTCTGGCTCCTTGCTGTGCATTGATTGCACAGCCAGTATAGCCTTCATTGCTTCCCTACCCCCATCACTGACACCATATGACTCCTATCTATTTCAGCAATGGGATTGTTGATTACTGTGGATATGCATCGCAACTGGTATGGTACTCGTACTTAGGGGTATATAATCCTGTGTACTTCGTCCTGTATCTGCAGTTTTTTGATAGCTTGCAACTGAGCTTCATCCCTTTGCTTTATCCTTGTTCTCTCTCTGCGTGAACAACCTTAGGGACTCACCAGTAGACAGAACCTCTGTCAGATCATTGCAATAACTCAGCCATAGGGGTTATGACAAGTTCAGCCTGTAGTCTCCCACCTTGCACACTTTGTGCCTATTCCATTTGAAGGAGTCACTGCACTTGGGCATAACAAAATCGAAAGACTCAATGCAGCTTTTGGGACTCATTGACCTCTTTGCAAAAGTCTACTCATCCCTGGTTACTGAACTTCAACAAACCACTTCATACTCAAGAAAAGGCTTGTTGGTCTCCCTACACATAAAGACTAACTTGCCTGTCTCTCGTCTCGCTTCCCAATTCGACCAACAAGTCGATAACAAAGATTGAGAAGCACCCCTCTACCCTCAACCAAATCCATCACTCTACAGGCAGCCATTAGGCTTTAATAGATCGCCTCCCTAGAGTCTACTCCTATGCTGACAGGTTTCTTTTGAGAAATAAATCCTCCCTCAGCCTTCATTATCACTTCTCATTAAAGTGTCTAATCTGCAGAAGTCGAGACCACCTGTCCCTCCTCGAATGAACCCCCTTGGGCTTGGTAGGAATCCACCACTACCGCCCGTACCACAAGGAAGACTAGGCCCTTCGGCTACAGCATCGAACCCTCAGTTATCTTATCTATCCTGGTTTAGGGATTCGGAAGTTGCACTTAGTTCAGAAGAAGAAGATGATCAGAAGTCCAATACTTCTTTCAGATCAGTCCTCAAGGAAGAACAAGAAGCACGCAAATCACCAGTTATGTCCATGACAATTGGTCATGGAGAGTCGGCTCCTGAAATGCCTACAAGGACCATCACGGAAAAGGAGCTGAAGCAGAAGTTGGAAGAACAAAGGTGTGTGTTGGCAGAAGATTGGCATAAGATCGCCGGGCCACAGAACAGTGACCTGTTTCCAACAGGAATGCCAATGGATTTGGCATTATGTATGTGGTATGCCAGGAACTTTGGAAAGGTGATTCCCCCAGAAGACCCCACTGGTGGGTCTAGTAAGGGTAAGGCCCCAGCCAATCCTGATGATACGTACAATGTCTGCCCACCTAACAGAGGTAGGGAGTTTAACATTGGGCGTCCCAGAGAATATGACGGAAGCCACAATGGGCTTCAGACCTGGGTTACACAGGTCAAAGGATACTTGAACCTGAACAAGCACGTCTACAACATGGAGTTGCTCAAGATTTCGTTTGCACTCACCTATATGACCAAAGGTGCAGCAGTCTCATTTGCTGAAAATTATCAAAATGAAAACAAGTTACTCGATGGAACTATCTACTACATGGACAGCTTTCAGAGGTTTGTGGAAAGACTTAAAGCTACCTTTGAGTCCAGCGACCAGACTGCTCTTGCCATACTCCACCTATCTGAAATCACTCAAGGCAAATGTGAACTTGAGGTGTACATCACCGAGTTTACAGGGCTTGTTAACAAGGCTCAACTCAAGGAAGAATCACATGAAGCAGGGATCTTCTTCAGAAAAGGATTGAATAAAGAACACCACAACTGGGTTCTTAATTCTGGACATGCCCCTACCACTGTCATCGAGTGGATACAGTGTGTGGGAGAAGCAAGAACTGCGATTGCTACCAAACATATCCTTAAAGGGAAGGAATCTCGGTATGAAAGAAAGTTCATTCATTACTGTGGAGGTTCCCAAGATCCTGATGCGATGGACGTTGACAAACAAAAAAGAAGCGTGAAAAGGTCTGCTTCGGATATTAAATGCTACAACTGTGGCATTGAAGGTCACATCAAGCATGACTGTAAAGTCAAAACCCAGCTTTCCAATGTTTGTGTGGTTATCTCAGAAGATGGGACGAAGACTGCTTATGTTGGAGATCGTCTTGTGAATAGGGAGGAACAGAAGCTGTTGGGTTTTTAAAGGGGACTGGCAAATCTCCTGCAACAGTCAGTCCTGTTGCTATTTTGTCTGCTAAATGTACTTCTGTAGATGATGAATCAAACATGTGAGTTTGATTGCCTCTCGGAATGATTATATTATCAGATTACAAGGCAGGAATATGGGCCTGTATCGACTTGGGCGCAGAAGTTTCCCTCATTTCTGAACAAATGGTGCAGAAACTTCAGATACCAATGTATCCAGTCAAGAGCAAGTTCAAAACCACGTCATTCACTGGAAAAGATGTTGAGTGGGTCACCTGCAAGGTAACCCTGAAAATGGAAATCAAGGAGTGCACAATATGAGTCAAGTGCTATGTTGGCCCACTAGTTGGAAAGGAGCACATGCTCCTTGGAATGCCTGTCCTCAAGGAATTTAAACCACGGATGAATTGGGAGACAGGAAAAATTACTTGTTGGGATGACAGGTACGTACCGAAACCTGGAAGCTTACCAACTATAGGAACTTTGTCTCTGGATCCAAGGGTTCTAGATGGAGGAAACACAGTGACAGAGGTGAACTCTGTTGGGATTAACAAAACAACTCTGTCCACAGAGCTGGAAGCTGCATGGGCAGCTGACAAACAGGAAGTCACTCTTCCTGTCAAGTATCAGGAATTTGCCAAGGTATTCTCGGAGGAAGATATTCCACTACCGGTCCACCAACCCAGGTTGGACCACGAAATTCGCCTGAAGGAAGATTTTAAGCCTAAAAAGGTGATGGTATATCCAATGTCCCTGGAAGAACTAAAGGTTTTAGATGAATTCCTGGATGAAAACCTCAAGTGCAAGAAAATCAGGCTGTCGACATCCCCACAAGTGGCTCTGGTGTTCTTTGTTGTGAAGAAGGATGGAAAGAAGAGGTTAATTCAAGATTACTGCTACCTCAATTCATTTACCATCCAGGATGCACACCCATTGCCGAATGCACAGGCATTG